GAAAAATGTTCATTCATGTATATGATGCAACTGTCGTTCTGTACAAGTATATAGGCATACGAGATTAATTATAATACGTGTTATGTTTTTGTTTTTTGGTAGGAATTATTATTCTTTTTTTTTTTTTTTCTATCCAATAAAATTAAATACAAATATAAATTAGTGATATACCTTCCACAAAAGGTTATCCATTAAAGACGCCTAGGTAAAAATCTGATTAATGAAGTTCAAATAAATGTAAACTTTGATTATTTAACTTGATATCAATGAAATTCATTTTATTATAGGAGCCTGTTAGGATTAATAGCATAAAATCTATAAAAAGAAATGTATCCATTACAAGAGATATGAGTGAATTTTAATTTGATCGAAATTTCTTTATAAACACATTTTAAATGACTGATAATTACCGCCATGATTAATTTGAAAATACCTTAGTAACTTCACTCTATCTTTTGTTGCATTTTTTGTTAAACAAACATATATACATGAACAATAATATAATACATCAAGTTTCAAAAGAAGAACAACAACAAACAATAACTATTATGTTAGATGAATATTGTCGATATTATTCAGATTTTAGTAAAAAATACTTTTTTGTTTTTCTAAGTTTAAAAAAAATTCGATTTATTTATATATTCTAGGTAAAATATTGGGCATCTATATAAGAAATTTTCATCCTCAAATTCATTTTGAATTTGAGCAACTTCTCGATGCTTCATATAATGTATGGCATCGTTTAAATGATAATGAAAAAATTTCATTATCAACTTTTCTTGAAGAAATAAGTCAAGAAAGTAATCATGTAAGTATTAATTTAAAAAAAGAAACAACAATCATATAATCAGATTATCTTGATATATGAACAAGGTTTTTTTTTTTAAACCGATTTGATTTATTTTTTACTTTAGAAAACTAATACAATTTGCTTAGAATTTTGAGATACTTTCCTAATGGAAAAAGAATGAATAGAGAACATGTTAAAGTTTTAAACAACATTTTGATTTCATATTATAGTTCCTAATAGATCTCTATTCTAGGATTGTAATAGTAAAACTGGTAGATACGCCAAGAATGTATAGTGACGACCGACGTAGTAATAATGCTAGGTTCTCGGAGGAGGGAAGTCGCTCCAGCCGATAAATCGCTTTTGAGCCAAGACTATGTGTGTTGCGTAGACCTAAATGAGCTGTGAATATCCTGAAAAGAGTTCGTACTCTTGGCCTATTATTGCGGAGATGCTTCACTAAAACGAATACCCCGCTCAGGAAAACGAACTTTTTGAATTTCGACTTAAAATTTTATACAGAGACAGATATCGGTTTTAATGGGAAGTCACAGTTGCTGCATCGACAGCAGTTGCACTCTACGAGCATTGAATCGCATTCTTATTCATTAAATGTACAATAGATAGATTTATTGAAATATGATGTAAAAATCAACAGTGGAATAATAAATATTTTAGAAGACTCACCCCCTATTTGGTACTCATAGGGAACAAAAATACTATTGGAGAGTAAGTGTTGCTAGAGCAACAATCGTGTTATCGTATATAAGAGATATACAAGACACGCTTTTACTATTGCTATGTCTTAGGATAGGAACAACGAAAAGATCTGAAACTTTCGCAAGAAGTTATTCTTGTCAAAACCTGTCTTTATGCAAAGTTTCAAATCGAAATTCGAAAATTAGTTTTCCTAGTGGTTTCGATAGGGTACTACGGCATTCGTTTAAAAAATACTATAAAAATGCACTATTTCGGCAGAAATAAGATAAGAGTCTAAATTCTTTTCACAATATTTGTTGTTCATTGAAGTCTATATAATATACATGGTTTCAATTCAGAAGCGATTTATCTATTGGGGAACATCCTTCAACCAAGAATTTGACATTTTTAACACATCGGTCATGACCATTGATTTCTAATGCATTCATTGACTTCATTGATCTTAATGATGATGCTTAAAATTATATACCTATTCTATCATTTGTTTTTCTATTTAAGTACGGAGAGACGATGAATATAAAAAAGAGATGTGGGTCGAATAAGCAAGGTCATGATTGTTTTCGAATGAATAACATCGTATAGTAAATATTTGTATATTCATATGTCTGACAGTTAATAATCATACAGAAAAAAAGGGTAAAATATTGTCTTTTTGTCTCATATTGAAATGTTATGTTACGGCTTTTTACAACGACACACAATTGGCATGTAACGATTATATATAATTACTATAGAAAGGTACAATTATCGTCCATGATGAAAAAAAAGACGATAATTCTTGTACCTCGAAAACATATTGAAAATACAAATGAAGTGCACTGACTGAGGAAAATACAATGAATTTTGGTCAAATATAATAGCATATGAGTGAACTTATGTTGTCTATTTAGAATGCACTTTTCTATTGAATAGAATCGTGAGAATGAATTTTTCTTTCTTACATACAGACTTACTAGGAGTCTTTAAGCATTTCACACTTAGCGATGTACTCTTATTCATATTAGGTCAACATAAATCAAATCCTATCGACTGTCTACTTTCAATATTGATATGTATGAGTAAAATAATCTTCTATGTTCTCTTTTTTCTTTTTTTTTTACTTGAACATGCACATATTTTATCATTATCCAATAGACTATATCGTCATCATCGAAAATAAAAACATTCAATGATTTGATAAATTGTGAATCATTAACAACAAAATTAAAATATCCACTAAACCATTCAAGTCAGACGAATGAAAAATTAAATTCTAAAGTAATAACATTAAATACGAATTCATGTGAAACATTTATTCCAAAAACTAAAAAATTATTAATTAAAAAACCTATTTCAATTACACCATTTAATATTTATTTAAAAGATGAACGTCAAAAATTAATTAAAAAACATAGAAAAATGTCAATAAATGATATTAATAAACGTTTATCTGAACGTTGGAAAAAAATGTCTAATCGAATGAAACAAAACTATGAATATCGATCATATCTTGCTAAAAAACGTTTATATAAAAGACAAGGTAAAATAATTCGATTAAAAAAACCTTCTTTTATTAAACGAATATCGTCAAAAACAAGACAAATAAAGAATAAAAAACAACAACTATCGAACACATTTCGATCAAATACTTCAATTCGAGCAAAATGAATTGTCTTTTTTTTTTCTTTCTTTAATTAATAAATTAATAAATCAATTGCTAAAAAAAGGATGTTGTAATAATTGTTCTGCACTTGGACGATGAATTGGATTTATTTGTAAACATTGTTGTAGTGCATCACGTAAATTATTATTAGTTATAGGTGGGATAATTGGATTTTGTGCTAATCGAGCTATATAAGACATTTTATCATAATTATCTTGAACATGTTCAAATGGTCGATAACCAAAGATCATTTCAAATAAAAGAACACCTATGAAAAGAAACAAAAAAAAAATAATTTTTTTAAATAATAAAAATGACAAACCAAGTGCCCAAATATCCGATGCTCGACCTTGACGAGAATATTGTCCATTTTGTATTTGACATACTTCAGGTGGCATATATTCTGGTGTACCNTCTCATAACTGCATATTTGGAATCAGCATGCAAAACAACATCGAATAAAATGTCATTTGTTAATGTTTAAAATAAAAATTTTTCTAACAATAGTTTAGAGTAACGATTCGGCTCATGCATTCTCCGTCTAAAGTGTTCTTCTATGAAGCACATGTTTTCCACATCAATATTTTTCTTGAGTACTGGAAATTAATATTTCTATGAAAACAAAAACGCTTTTTTTGATAAAATAAGCCGTGTTCACGTAATCTATAGAAATTGGCCATTGTGTGCGGATGGGAGAAGGAAAGACAAGCATCATTGGATACGTTTTCCTAGCAGCGCGAAGACGCATGTCTGTAATAACAGTGCTTATATCATTCTAGAATCTTCCAAAGCATTCTTTGTATCTAACATTTTTACTATAGATTCTAACTAGTCTAAATATTGCGGGTTTTGATATTTAATGCAGTGAAAGGATCTTATTGCAGGTGTCAATCAGTATTTAACAGAGTCAGAATAGGACCAACATAAAACAGTGTGAACCAATTCAATTCTAAATTTAGACAAAACTCAGCAGTCTATGTCAAAGTTCGCTGGAAAAAAAGATGGTGTGGTCAGAAGCATATTGAGCAAAGAAATCTGCGTGTATAGCAGACTAAGGTGGTGACTGAATCGATGAAACGAAAAATAAAACGATACTTGCCGCTTTCTATAGCATATATTGTATATATTATCATTAAGAGAAAAGAAGTTATGTGTTTTGACAGCTCGAGCGTGTATCTTGTAAGAATTTAAGACATTTTATCATAATTATCTTGAACATGTTCAAATGGTCGATAACCAAAGATCATTTCAAATAAAAGAACACCTATGAAAAGAAACAAAAAAAAAATAATTTTTTTAAATAATAAAAATGACAAACCAAGTGCCCAAATATCCGATGCTCGACCTTGACGAGAATATTGTCCATTTTGTATTTGACATACTTCAGGTGGCATATATTCTGGTGTACCTTTGAATATTTTATTAAAGTTTAAATATAAAGAAAGATTAATTAAATATTTCCACCTGCAAATGGTCTCAATACAGATTGTTGTGTATGTGATAAACGAAATGAAAGCCCTAAGTCAATAATACGAAGTTGACCACCATGTGTCATTATAAAATTTTCCGGTTTAATATCTAGAAAATAGGTTTATTTTTTTGTTGTGTTATTTATGAATACAAATTCAATTATATTTACCTGAATGAACAATACCATGTCGATGAAGTAAAGCAACAGCTTCAACCATTTGATACCAATAATATTTTATTTGTGCATTCGTCATTTTTTTTTTATTAGGTGGTGCTTGTAATGGTAACATAAAACGAAAATCATGTCCAGTTTCCATAACAATTTTACCTGTTTGAGAGTTTTTATCATATTCATGATTAAAAACTCGTATAACATATGGATTATGTGGTTGTAATTTAGTTAAATAACGTATTTCTTTAAAAAATATTTTTGAATACTCATGACTATCATTTGAATCAACATTTTGTACTACTTTTATTGCTACAGATTGACCTGTTCGAGGATCATATGCAGCATAAACACGACTATGAAGTCCTTCACCAAGTAAACGAATAACTGTATATGGAATAGAATTGACATAAATTGTTGTTGATTGTATTTTTGCATTTGTTAATGGAGCAACTGAAGATGTAGGTACTGGATAATGCCAACTTGGTGAAGCCGGTAGAGCTTAAATGAAATTTATTGTTTAATTTAATTTTTTTTTCAAATATGAAATATCTTACTAGCATCACATGATGGCTTGCAATTGGCCGGAAATGGATGGAAAGCATAAGCGATTTTAATCATTTGATTATAGGTTCTTTTCTGTTATATGATGTCATACGACAAATGAAATATGCCTATGTATAATAAAATATATTTTTGCCGTTCTCGTTTTTCATTTCTGTGTTCTTTTTTTCTCTTGTGAACCTTCAAATACAAAGATTGTCGTTTTTTCCTCCTCTCTCTTGTTAACACTCTCCCCCCCATAATATGTTAATTAATCGAGCATGAACTATTGTATTCTGAACAAGATCAAGGTCATGGCTCTTTTCTTTGCTTATGAAATAATGCCGTCGCATGTCTCCTACCTTTAACAATCAGAATAAAAATCGTCAGGTCGAATGATATGCTGATTACCCATCGAGCTACTTGTCGCCGTTATTCATTCAAAATATAGTTATCAAGTATCCGCTGATACGAATATATCATATGCTTGTTGCATGCTTGATTGATGTTAGTGTCGTGTATGCAGCTGAGTAACTGCTGTTGTACCGTTCGTTTTTCTTTTTCTTTCTACTGCATTCAATTTACGTAAGACGAAAGACATCGTATGTTGCGCGAATGAGAGCGAGTAGATATACACGTTTGGTAATGTTTAGAACAGATGCATTCATACAAGTCGATTTCATAGTATTAATAATAATGTTCAACAAAAAAAATATATATCTATACTCAAAATGATTCATATTCACTCTACTATCTCCTGTGAAGTAATCATTCTCTTGAATTCATCGTACATTTTATTTATGAGTATAAGGCAAAAAAATACATCAAAGTATGTTATTCAGAATTGATGTATTGATTTTTTTTTTGTTGAAGCTAAAGGCGTTATACATGCAAACATGTCAGTTAATCTTTAAACTATGACATGTTCCAGGTATATATCGTGTATCTTTCAAAAAATTACTTTTACTATGATTATTTAAAGTACGGTGACATTAAGCATATTGTTTATATTGGTCATATTGTTCGTATATAAGACCACATTGTGAAGCTTTTAGATACATTTTTTCATCTTGATCATGTTTATATTTGTCATTTGTGGCTTCTATCTAATTCACTTCAAGCTGTTTACTTATTGTTAATTCATAACGATGTTTTTCATGATTTTCTGATAAAATACTAGCAAAAGAAAGAATCTTTTTCTATCATTCAATTGAAAAATAAAAACATACTCTTCTTTCATAGTTAATACTTTACATTCATACTTTTGATCAAGTATTTGTTTAAGTAATTGTTGTCATTATTTAATAAAAGCTTTTTTGGTGGCGAACAATTTCTATTGCATAAAGACGATATTTTTGTAACTGTTCAAATGATATATCATGTGAACCAAAAAACAAGAATTTTTCGATTTCACAAGTGGGTAACTCAGCATGTTTGTTTCAAATCTAATTTCTTTTATAGAACATAAATCATAGAATAGAAAAGATCCTGTTGGATAAGATGATCACTCGTCTTTAACAAGCCAGTTATATCGTTTTGTAGAGCAACTCGTGGAACATTGAGTTCTATACGTGAATTTGTATTTTCATCAAATTTTAACGTTCTGAAAAGTCACATACCAATTATGGAATATTAGAGAAATTGTGGACAATATGACTAAATATGTCTCCGAATTAATGCATATAAAAGTTTGTTCAAAGTTAATTCAATAGAGTTTTGTTTTATTTTCAATCGTATGTATCTAATAATTTTCAGAATAGCTTTCTTCGTTTCTATAATTATTGCCTTTTATTATGTCTTACATTGTTCGATACTGCTCTTGGGACCAAAATCAACCAACTGTACAACTTTCTTATAGGTGTGTTCCATCATGCTCTATAACTATGATAAAACATTGTCCTCTGAATTGGGGTTTGTCATAGTGAAATCGGACCATGAGTACCTGAAGAAGGTCAATTTTTCGGGTTCTACGAACAGAAGAGTATATCAATTTTTCTATAAATGATTTTTTCAATGAAAAAAGTATCTACCTATTAATAATAAGTTTATCATGCCCTATTATTTTACATGCATTAATCTTTTGAAAATGCGAAAAACAATTTTTTCACCTTCAGATCCTGGAGTGTGCGGGTGTTGGTGTTGCGCTGACATACCTCCACAGTCACACCCTTTTTTTTGCACTAAAAGAAGCTCCATTATTGATCTTTGTTTAGCCTTAGTATGAATGATTTTCTTTGGCAGGCAATTTAGTATTAATTGTTGACCATGGATAAAATTAGTTTAATCTTATACACGTCAACAAAACTTTTTTTTTGTATTACTCTCGATTTCGTGATTTTCTGATACAAACTAATATAGTCTAATTCAAATTTGAATCTAACTTTGAGTTTGATTCAATAAATTTCTTTCCAGGTGACTGTTTTTTGACGAGACTGGGAAAAATAAGTATTCTTCTGGACTATTACGATTCGTTGATGGAATGAAACGTGTTTTTGCGTCGAATTCCAATATTTCAGTTGTACTTACGCAGTTTAGTGTTCTCAGTTCATATAGAAAATTACCATATTATCGAATCAAAGTTCATTCAAGCCTCAGAAAAACTGAAGATACTAGTTTGCGTGAGCCATGTTTCAAGAAAAACTTTTTCGAAGTTTATTAGACGCAAAATAAAGACTCTAGGTAAATAGAAGTTTGTAGAGAATTTGATAGCGTGTCTTTTAAAGAAAAATTCAATATGATATGATTTATTTATGAAAAATGATCTGCAAAATAAATAATGTTGCTAATATTTTAGGACACTCGGTATGATTTCGCATCACCAAAAATCAAGATCTAAGTCTATTAGATGCAATATCGATCGTCTTATTAACATCATTTTTTCAGTACTCTCAAACGATATGTATTACAGTTACTTGAAGATATCTGAGGAAACTGAACTATGAGGTCTGTAAAAGGAATTAAAGAATTAACAGTAGTGTAATAATAGTAATCAAACTTGGAAATTGAATTCAACTGAACACATGTTGGAACATGATTGTCATCGAAGAGAAATGGGTAGATGTAGGTGTGCGATTGTGAGCTGAATGTGAATAATTGATCCACATTCATATCTCACAGCGTTGGTCCAGGGTTTTTTGAGTTAAAACAGCGTGTTTTATTTATCGCGAGTTCGAGAAAAACTCGATGCGCTCTTTAAAGCTATAACTTATTTCGTCGAAGAAAAAGATTGAATAAAGCATTCGATTGAAACATGAACTTGCATTAGTCGATAGAATTTTTATCACTTATCAGAGAGCCTCGTACTATGACAATCGACATACAACAAATGTAGTGCTGCGTTGGAGATATTGTGGGAAATTTTTTTCGAAGTCAATGTCGGAGTTACATCATTATAAAAATCAAATATTTTTGCTCTTTCATAGTAAGAATTCTATTCTTCGTATTCTAAGTAATGAACAAGAATACACTAATTTATAGATTCAACAATAAGTTGTAAGAAAGCTATAGAATCTGATAAGTTTTTGTACTCGTTGTCTCATTATTGTCAAGCATTGACTTATTCTTCTCTTTTTTTAAATAGATTATATCAATTTTTTTAGATCTATTTTTCTGATTGAGATTAATGGAACAGACATTAATATCTTTATTTAGTTTAAGAAATATGATACATTGTTTATCTGATGAGCAGTATACATAAGTACTCTTCGTTTTTCTTCATTAGAAAAAGTGAAATCAGCAATTTGATAGGTTGAAAATTATTATGAATAGTTGCATTAATTAATGGTGATGTTCGTACATTCGTTAATCATATTTAATTGAAATAACCAAATTACAAAAGCGCGGCAGTATTTTATTTCAAATTATTTAGTTTTTTGTTGTTTATCTAATAATTTCACTCTTATAAAACGCACACTATCCGAGAAAAATGATGTATTAACTTTGTGAAATTTAGTTTCGTTAGATGGATATATTGTCCATATTAATACAATAACAAAAAAAAAAGCAAATGATAATCGTCATTATTCTTTTATCCTTTGTCAAGAAGATCAATCTACCGTACGTGTCATCAAACATTTATCGAAAGCTCCTTGTTGCTTATTATACAATCGGTTAAAAGAATCTCTTACAAATGGTCAAGGAGCATCAATTAGCTGCTTACATGAGCAAAATGGGCAATACACATGTACCATGTCTACAAAACTGATGGAAAAGGAGTTAAGTTTTCGACCTGATTGCATTCGTGTAAAAAATATCAAAGATTTAAAAAATGAAATACATGATCGATTATGCCCAGTACAAGTGAAAATTTGAAAAAGAAACCATTCTTTATATAAATGTGTTCTACGTCTCCATTTTTCATCAGCTTTAATATGAATATCATTTAGTACATATATCATATTTTTACATCAGAAATACATTTACTAATATTAAGTCGAAATAAATCTATAGAACAATTTTTAATACGATTAATATATTTAAGCTATCATTAATACAGACCTCATTACTTAATTTAAGTTCTATATAAAAAAAACCTCCAACATGAATTAAATTTCGGATATATTGAATAAAATCATCTTGCTAAATTCTTTTATACTTACTATGTATAGTTTAATCAATCATAAAAAATGTGCATCAAAATATCTAACACATACATAATATAGTTGCATATGCTTTAAAGTACTCTAGCATGATTTATATTTTCAATGATTGCATTTTCCATGTCACAATCAGTATTAAAAAGATACTTTACTTGAATAAAATCTTTATTCAAATTTTTTTGATAAATTGCTCTAATCAACCGAGTATCGTAATTTCCAAACTCAATACTGCAATACAAATAAGTTATAAGTTTTTTGTTTTTAACATGCTATACCTCTTATGTCGCAAGTTGTTTTCTGAGAACAATGGATATCCATTCTCAAATCTAACATATTGTTAAAAAAAAGCTATCAAAGGATTATGACCACAATACATACGATATTAATTTTCTCACAAAATAATATTTCAACGATAAATCGTTTATGTTTATCATCCGTGTTGTATTTTTTTTATTATTCAATCACTAGTTTTACACGTTT